TCGTGTTGAGAATAAAAAGAAAAAAAGAGAGAGGCAAAAAGGTCGTCCCACATATCCTTCTCTTCTCATCTCTTCCCAGTGAGCCAAGCCAGCCAGCCAGCCAGTCACTCAGCAAAGCCGAGCAAGCGAGCTTGCTCGCTCGACAAATTCCATCCAGATAGGGAATTTTTGCGTAGTCTTACTGTCGGCGGCCTAGCGATCTTGGAATGGCGGGATGTCCATTGTGATGACCATCCTGGCGTACTTGGTTCCAATGGTAGGTTCGTTGCCGTACTGGAAGCAAGAGAGAAGGTTAGAAGAAGAAAAGGACTGAATGGCTCGAGATCCCAAAGCGACATCTCCAGAATGGAGAAACAGGTGGTGAGGGGGACGGCAGAAGCAAATAGAAGAACACCAGCAGACTTACCGCACCGTGAACCAACGCCATCTCCCGATGGCCCGGCTTGTTCAACCACTTGACCTGCCTGACACTAAAGTCGCGGGCCCAATCGCTGAGGATGTACGTGGACTCGAGCCCTTCGGACATGCCGGAGTCAGTCGCCTTCCATGGCTCAAGCCCTTCGGATAGAACGTCGAGGGCGACATTCTGATTCTTGTGGAGCGGCTGCCAATTGGTGAACACCCGTCCATGGCCCCCTTCTGTGTCTTCGCGCCGGTAAAACCGCTTCAGGTCGTCGAATCTGTCCGTGTCCTTTTTCCCGTACACGTCTAGGAGGTTCATGTAGTACCAAGGGCGCTCGCTCTTGTAGATTGCGAGCGAGTGGCGGAGACGGATGGGGAGTTTGGTCGCTGCGAGGCATGTGTAGACGATTTTGTCGACTCCCTTGAGAGTTGCGGGTAGGGCGGCGATCGTGTCTCCTGATGTATGTGCGTAGGCGTGTGCACAATGGTAACCGAGTAAGAGACCTAATGAAAAGAGAAACGACAGAGAAAGAAACAGCGATTCAGCCCAGGTTCATCTTCCATGCCTTGTAAGCTGCAAGGTTTCTTACTTACCGTTCTTGCAGAAGCTTGGCTGCTCGAGTAGCGTCTTCAAAGTGTGGTATAGCCCGACCTGTTCAGGATCGATCAAAGCCGTGTTCGCCGAGCAGGTGACATACAGATTGTATGTCAGCGTCACACGTTCACCTGCGGTGACCTCGAGAACTTCGTGCTCGCAGTCGCTATAGAAGGCTGCCCATTGAATGGAATTGCTGCCTTTTCCGCCAGACCAGTCGAAGACCTCCTCCCGACCCTGGTGGCGGAGCACCAGCTGCCCGCCTTCGTGGACGCTCGGAAGACAGACAACTAGCGACCCGATCTGGTGCTTCGAGCGTGGGGTGTCGACGTGCGCTTTGAACTTGCCCGACGGCGCGGCATACACCTAAGTTCCCAAAGTTAGTGAAATGCAGGTGTGCCACAAGGACGAGCCGCTTTTACATTCAGCTTGTATAGCTCCGCCCTGACACCATGATTCTCATTGGTTTGTCTCCAGTTATTTGGAGCAAGAGCCTGCGCGGCTGTGGCAATAATGCCCAGGGAGTAGGGGTTGAAGTTTGTGCAAAAGTCAGATTCGTCCAGCTTCCCAGCTTTGCGATATGTCTCGTCCATGACATCCTTCCCTGCGCGCCCAAAGCTCGCTGGCTGGCAGTCCTTGAGCAGCTGCTCGAAGGAGGGTCTCTGGCTATCGGTACATGGCAAGGTCACTTTATGTGAGCCACCAACAGCCCCAGTGGAGTCCCATCTGATGGTGATCGGGTCGCAACGCATTTTGTGCTCTTCAACACTTCCCCCTGGCGCTGGCGGTGCTAGGTGCTCTAGATCACTCTCGCTGGAGTTGTCGTAGCCGACGAGGCCATCACGAGAGGGGGGGCTCCCCAAGCTGGGTTCGCTCGAAGGTTGGTCGCTAGGCTCGTTGTCCTCATCCGATTCGGTATCGTCAGACTCGCAGATAAGGTGTTTATCAAATGAGGTGAGTGGGATTGAGCCGCCAACCGCGAAGACAGAATTCTCGCCCTCATACTGGACTTGCTGGGCGAGTTCTTCAAAGACCTTTTGTTCCGCCTGCTCAGCTAGGGAAGGCACTTTGGAGCTCTGAGCTGCTGCTGCAGTTGGAGTTGCCATGATGATGAGGAATATTGTGGTGGATGCTTCGAGAGAGAGTTTATCGACGGCACACTGTTGGCTCTATATATGCACAAGGAGAGTGAGTGGCTTTTGCATATAAGAACAATCCGACACTTGGGCTGCACCTTTCTCTCAGGCATCACTAGGCAGTTGTGCAGACACGACTACCGTTAACATGTGTGCGGTTGAGTGTGGTGAAGGCAGCGTCAGGCAGCACATGCATGTAACCGGAAGTTTCAGTCCTGATTGGACCAGGAGGAACGGCATTCATCGGACTCCTCCCACATCTTGCTGCCGGAGCCTTGAGTAAAGCATCAGATTTGGAAGGGTCTGGAAATGATAGCGAGCACTGGGGGCCGCAAGCCGATGTTTTGTGACACAGTAGATGCTGGCACCACCAGGATATTTCATGACCGTGGTCCTTTCTCCTCATCAGTCGAGCTGCTTGACTCATGGACCGCAATAGGCAAAGGCCCGCTCGTCGCTTCGGCCAAGTTCTGCTTTCTCACATCCCACCCTCCATGCCAGCCTATCCAACCCTGCTCGTACGGTCCTCTCAAAGCAGCGATCACAAACGTCAGTCCCACCAGAGCCACACTAAGACTCCCACTCGCAATCCACCCGCCACGCTCGTATAATTTTGCACCTGCCGAGGTCCCTGTTAATTGACCCGTGAATGTACACAACATGTAGGCTGTGTTCACTCGATTCCGCCCGGTTGGCTCAATGGCATGGATCGCAGCGCGGTTTGCTACCTGAGTGATTTGGAGGCCCATGTCAAGCGTGAAGGCCTCAATTATTGGTCCTGCCACCGCGAGTTTGCCCGTATAAGTGCCAACGGCCACCCCAATCAGATTGGCGGCACAGCCCATCATGCAAGAGAAGAGGGGGGCGAAGGGCTGAATGAGGTATTTGGCGTATAGCGGGCCCATGACAATACCAGCCACACCGATCAGTGCGAACAACCCAATGACAACTGGCGAGTAATTGTACGGGGAATCGGCTAGGAGAAACGTGAGTGTAGTCCAGTAGTTTGTGAAGGCGGCCGAGATACAGAAGCTGATCAATCCAGCTTGGACGAGGACGGCGTACTTCTTGTACAGAAAAATGATTCCGCCGATCATTTTGAAGTAGTTCAGTCCCTGAGGGTTGGAAGAAGGATAATCGGGCATAAAGAACCAAAGCGTAACAAGGATGAGGTATTGCAGCGCAAGCGCGATCCAGTAGATGTTTCGCCACGACGTGAATTGTGTGACGACACCCGAGAGAATGCGGGCAATCACGATGCCAAGGAGATTACCAGAAGTGGTGATACTCAAGGCTAAAGCGCGTTGATGAGGGGGTGCCAACTCCGAGACCAGCGGAAGCATAACTTGAGGAATGACCGTGGTAACGGCACACAGGTAGGAGATCGCACAGAAGGCTGTGAATGAGTGAGTGACGCACAGTCCGATCCTATAGCAGAACGTTAGCATTGTGGATCCTTCTTTCGCGTTAGGCCGCATGGTGTCCAGTCTCTAGAACAAGCGCGACTTACCACAGGGTGGCTGTGAATGCAATGAGTCCCAAGGTCAACGGTCTTCTCTTTAGCAAATCGCCCAACGGACATACGAAGAGCAGTCCAGTGGCATAGCCAGCCTGCATCAGAGTTGGGATGCGTGATACCTTGACATAGGGCACGTTGAAGTCTTCAGCCAGGATGTTCAGGATTGGGTGGTTGTAGTATAAATTGCCCACAGTGAAGGCACCCGCAAACGCGAACAGAACATTATGCCAGATTGAGAATGTGGGCGGCTTCTCTGGATTCCATCGACACCACGGCGGTGTCCATGTCAGGACATCGATTAAACTCTGCCGTTTCGATCTCGGGTTTGCGACCTCGGGTTTGGGGTCTTCATATGTCGCCTCAACAGTTTCAACGCTTTTCTCACCAGGGGCATTTGGCCATGCCTGTGGTTCGTCGGTTGAGTCTCTTTCCACCATGCCCGACCAACAACAATTTTCTCGGGGAAACTGTAGGGACGACCAGAGAAAATCCAAATTCGGGGATCGAGAACAGTTATAAAAATACGGTGGACGGTCAGGAACTATTCTCGGCCCGGCCTGGGGCACGGGAAACGAAGTGCGTTCGCGTGCTAATTTTCGGAGATCGTCGGTTCCATGCCATTAACTCCAGACAAGATTTCCCCAACATCCTGAAGATTGTCGATATGTGTGGGAAAGTTCAGATTCGAATGGAACAAACACATCAACCGTGGGCTCCCCTTATTGCCGTACACCGTGCGGATTCTTGTGGGCACACCAACGCACGTTTTTCTTATTTAATTGTGCTTTCCAACGGGATAGAGGGGGGACGGTCCCACAATGTGTGAGATGAACTGCGGGCGGCATGCCGTGTTTGCCGATAACGGGAATGGAGATATGGGAGATCCGCAGCCCGAAGGAGACGCCTTCGCCGAGGCAAGATTGCTGACAGCATGTCTTTCCCGTTCAAGAGAGGGATGGTTATAAACTCATGGAGGAATGAGAGCTTTCTCGAGGGAAAGAAAAGGTGCAACAAGCGATATATGAAAAGGAGACAAGATGGAACAACAAGGTCGAAGATGACGTTCGACTCGGGTGTGACACGTGACTCCCCCTTCGGCCCCATGATTGCGCCAACTGTGCCAATTGTGACTCCGCAGCTCAACAATCGATCAGCATCCATCAACCATGTGCCAGTCATCCATCAAGGCACCTTTCAAGCATCGTCCGACTTGGCTCAGATGCATTGCAGCATGGAGCGCACTGTGACTCATTCAATGTTTTAAATAGCGGGCAACCTCGATAAACAAACCCTTCATGAGTGGATTCAATCCCGCAGAGAGCTAACTTTCTCACAGAAAACATCAACCATGGAAGATCACAAGCTTCTGGTGAAGGATGGTTATGACAAGATCGCCCAGACCTACCTCGACTGGAGTCATGGGAAACCAGCAGCCCGTGTCACCCGTGTCACCTACGTGGAGAAGTTGCTCTCTCAACTGCAAAGTCCAACTGAAGCAAATGTCCTCGAGCTCGGCTGCGGCGCAGGAGTTCCATGTACGCGATTGTTGGCACAGTCATGCGGTCGAGTCTTTGCCAACGACATCTCCCAAGCGCAAATCCACCTCGCCAAGGCGAATGTGCCAGAGAAGAACGTGCATTTTATCCAAGGAGACATGACACATCTCGAGTTTGACCGTTCAACAATCCAGGCTGTGGTGGCCTTCTATTCCATCATTCACCTTCCACGTGAAGAGCAACGCAGCCTCATCCAACAAATCTGGGAGTGGCTGTCCCCCGCAGGCTATCTGCTGTGCAACTTGGGAGTTGCAGATAATCCTGGGTCAACAGCAGATTGGTTAGGATCGCGAATGTATTGGAGCAGCTTTGATGTCGAGACTGGCATGAAGATGCTGAAAGACACCGGCTTTACTGTCACCCAGAGTGAAGTGCTACATGACGACGAGGATGGCAGGCTGGTTCCATTTTTATGGGTTTTGGCCCAAAAGATTTAATTCTGACGGCTTGCGCCCCGTCTCATAGCGAAATGCACTGTCAGGATCCCAGCCACGGGTGTTGTCTCGGCTTTCATGCTATGCTCCAATGTCCACCGCTGATCTCGACGGTGCCAACTCCGCTGATGCCACCGATACGTTCCATGACCCTCCCATCCATTTGACGGCAATCTGCGGTCTCTCAGTCATTGTGGAAACACATGCACCAATAGATATGGAAGGTGCCATCGCGTTTAAGGAGAGGATTTGGCGCATTTCACACCTAGGGCCCGCCCGTCTTCTTACAATGGCTGCTTTTGACAATGGCGAGCAGCCACCCAGCTAATGGAAATGATAATAAGGTGTGAGAAATTCTCAAAGACGATTGTATATGTGTCAAATCGGCCACAACCTTGGCGACAACGAGAAAAGTGGCAAATTTCTGAGAAGACTTTGACCCTCTGTTAGCTGGAACTGGCAGTATAAAGAGTAACACGAAGAACTAACTAAAGGAGGCAGAGAACGCTTATACCCGGGTGAGTGTGCGTCTCATGCCAAGACACGTGTCACTGTCCTAGGTTCATTCCTAGGTGAGTGACTCTACCTGTCACTATCCAGGTGAGCGAATCCAACCCGTTGTGACATCAAACCAAGGAGGGGAGCCTTTTCCAGGCGAGAGAACCTCGACTCCCGTACAGGAGAGGTGTGCCACTGGTCTGCAAAATTTGATGACAGTCCTTACTTCGATCCTTTTATGGCTCAGATCCTTCTACGAACAGGGGTGTGACGGCTCAGTTTGCTACACCCTGGCGGCTGGAAACGATACAACGTCCTTGGCTGTTACTCGAGCACTATATCTCCTTGCACACAATCCACGAGGCGAGGATACAAAAATACCGTTCCTCACCTTTCGATGTCGACCCTCGACTTTGCACGGGCGAAGAGTACGGATGCGCAGAGTTTGCGACACCGTCAGCTCGCTTGCTTGGCCGATTTGAGTGGGTTCTTCGTCAACCCAGACAAGGACATGGGAGAAGACAGTAAGTTGAATACCGGCATCGTCTCCAAGCCACAGGGTTCTCTATTTCTCCGAGCACGAAAGGATTACGGCTCGTAAAGATCTAGCAACGGTGATATACTTTCTACAAGGGCCCACGGCCGAGTCCTCTGCTATCGACACCTTGTCCGGCTTGTCCAAATGAAACAGGGAAGAGGGAGGAGCCACGTTCATCGAGATTGTCTTGTAGGAATAGGCACTGTTCTCGAACCCAAACCCTACTCGTATCGGGAGTTTTCATGTCCGGGAGTTGAGAGGTTCGGAATCGGCTAATGCACCAAATCTGGTTCGAAGGAAGTCAGGAAATGGTTTCAGTGATGCCACTCTATCTAGCTCACGACCACCTATCGAGCCTGACTGACTAACTACATTTACATACTATTGTGCCCAGTATCCGTCACTGGAAGATCATTCATCCACAGGCCTACATATATGCATGTCCTGGGATACGCGGGATGGCCCCGGCAGCTTCCTCATTCGACATAGCCTTATGCATTGCGTATCAACGGTCGATAACTGATGACAGCCTCGCAGATCACCGCAGACTCGTTTCGTCAACTGCTTCTCCACCACAGCCAAAAACTTTCGACTCCCAAAGGATCTTCATGCCATGATGCACGTTGCCTTCGGATTTCCACGATCATGCCGGCGGCCGCTTCTATCTAACAGCGTCAATCAAATGGTGTCATCGTCCTACGGAGCGGTTGATCAGCGCTGCAGCAAGGCGTTCCTCAAATGAGATAAGGCGCAAGATTTATCGCATCCTGCACAGGGGTCTGGAGTATCAGGCATCGTCAAATATGTTATCAGAGTCGGTGTTTGCTTTCAGAACCACCTCTCTTCGCAGGAGAGATCCACATTGCAGTCAGGATGCTTGACGGTGCCTCCACGCTGTTGATATCAGCGACACGTGGTGTCGGGCCTATGGCCGAAGATCATACATATAATAAGGAAAGTACATGAACTGCCTTGACTCTAGGTGTGCGCTGTTGCTTTGTCTCTTTCCTCAATCGTTGTACCGTTTGATTGCTTGAGCCCTACAATAACCGTTGCTACCATGTCAGAGTCTCAGTCAGCGGTTCTGTCCCAAGGGGTTGGATATGGGGTTGTCGTGGGCATCGGGTTCTTCTTCACGGTCGTCATGGCTGGCATCTCCATGCTCCAGGTACTTAAAACTCTGTCCCTGGACGATTTTGTCGCAATACTGACCTCTTGTTACAGAATCGATACACGAACTTCTCCACCAGAACGAGCGAAGAGTTTAACACCGCCAGCAGAAATGTGAAACCTGGTCTTATTGCTGCTGGTATCGTCTCAGCGTGGACCTGGGCTGCCACCCTTCTCCAGAGCAGCACAGTCGCTTATACCTATGGCGTAGCTGGACCATTTTGGGTAGGTCACTGCATTCACTCTCCCCGTGACAAAGGACATGCTAACAGTGGTAAAGTATGCTGCGGGAGCCACTGTCCAGATCCTGATGTTCTCCATCCTGGCCTGTAAGACCAAGATGAACGCCCCTCGATGCCACACATACTTGGAAATCATTCAAGTTCGCTACGGCACCGTCGCCCACGTTGTGTTCATATTTTTCGCCCTTGTCACAAACATCCTGGTTGGCTCGCAGCTCCTGCTGGGCGGCTCCGCTGTCGTCACCAGTCTCACAGGCATGAACGTCTACGCAGCCATCTTCCTGATTCCACTCGGCGTCGTTGCTTATGTCCTGATGGGCGGCTTACGCGCGACGTTCTTATGCGACTACAGTCACACGCTTATCCTGATGGTGATTATCCTTTACTTTATGTTCCAGGTCTACTGCACAGACGACCTCATCGGCTCGCCATCTCGTATGTTCGACCTGCTCAAGAAAGCGGCAACGCTTCGGCCTGTGACCGGCAACCAAGACGGCAGTTATATGACTTTGAAATCCAACAACGCTTTGATCTTCGGCGTCATTCAACTTTGTTCCGGCAGTGGCACTGTCTTCTTGGACCAGGCGTACTGGCAGAGAGCCATCGCATCTCGTCCTACGACCGCCGTTCGGGCATACATTCTAGGTGGACTGGCATGGTTCGCTATCCCTTTTGGCTTCGCCACGACCCTGGGATTAGCATCAGTCGCCCTGACCGACAATCCTGCATACCCGACGTACCCAAATGCACCTTCGTCGAGCCAGATCTCCGCCGGCCTTGCATCCGCTTTTGCAGCGAGCACTCTGCTCGGCAAAGGCGGGGCAGTGGCCTTGTTGATCACGCTCTTCATGGCTGTGACATCCTGTGCATCTGCAGAATTGATCGCCGTCTCATCGATCCTTACCTTTGATATCTACAAAACCTACATCAAGCCCAATGCGACCCCCAGCAATCTGATCTTCATGGCCCATGTCAATGTTGCCGTTTTCGGTCTGACCATGTCCATCTTCGCCATCATCTGGAATGTTATTGGAATCGATCTAGGCTGGTTGTTCCTGGTCATGGGCCTGCTGATCGGCGGTGCTGTGTTCCCTGTCGCATTTGCTATTACTTGGAAAGGACAGAGTCGAGCGGGTGCCATCGCGGGAGCTTTGAGTGGTCTTGCCGCTGGTCTTACTGCCTGGCTTGTTGAAGCTAAGGTCTACTATGGAGAATTGACCCTGACGACCACGGGATCAAACTACGCTACGCTGGCAGGCAATTTAGCCGCTATCATGACTGGCTTGATCGTCTCGGTAGTCGTGTCCTTGCTCAAGCCGGACAACTATGACTGGAGCACAACTCGGGCCATCAACTTAGCGGGCTCTCATGCTACCTTGGACGGGACCACTCCCCAAGCGACGGATTCTTCCCGGTCAAGCACTACGCACAGTAGCGGCGACGCAAAGACGAAGGATATCAAATCCATCAACGAATCAGCATCCCCGGCACCAATCTCACCCGTGCTTGTACCTACATCTGCACCGGACGAAAAGAACTTGACGACAACCGTCAAGCACGACACCGACCCTATCCGCGCCGATGAAGAACGCCAAATGTCACTGGACGCAGCCATCGAGGAGCACCCGTCGCGCCTACGCTCAGCTTTTAGACTCGCCTGCATCGCCTCGTTCGTCTTACCCTTCATCATGGACTTCTTGATCCCTATTCCAATGTTCCTGAGCCATTACGTCTTCTCAGTGGGATTTTTCACCGCCTGGGTCGTTATCAGTTTCATTTGGGTGTTCAGCTCCGCCTTGATCAGTGTTGTCTTGCCCGTCTGGGAGACAAGAGGGTTCTTTGCCATGCTGTTTACGCAGGTCCTTGGAGATATGAAAGGGAGAAAGAGGTCTTCGTGAGGAGGAATCGTATGATTTCCGTTCCGACGTCCAGGATCCCGGAAGATGGAAGTTGATGCGTAGATTCACTGTCCCTACATGTTTCCCCCAAAGAGTAGATTCTTTATAGACATAGAGACATAGAGAAGACTTAGATGTTTCAAGGAGATGATCGTTTACCTTGCAGCTTTCATTGTAGAATGCGACGTCGCTACAAAACCCGAGATAGGCAGTGAATAGCCTAGTCCGACCAGATTGTGCGGAATAGTATAGACTGTATTTCCTCATCACAAGACCCATGCTTGATGTTGCAACAAGTCCAAATGGGCACAGGATGTCCTTACGTCCTTGTACCTCGTGGAAGAGCAGTGAAGGGTCAAGGGGACTCAGGTGAGAAGGGTCTGGTTATTGATAGACTAACCGAAAGTGGTAAAGCGCATAATGACCCATTGAATTGTTCGAAAACTGATGAGACAGTTTGGTCGAACACTGAGATTCACATAACTCCTGCACTGACTCTGTCCATATCCCCAGAACAAACCCTCAGAGGCCCACGCTTAATTTGTGTGCATATCACATCCCAACAAGATGCCTCCTAGACTCCGCCTGCGCACGCTCGCGCAGCTCGCAGAGCTTCAAGTCGAAGCTGCTTCCACATACACGTGCGGTCGTTGCTCG